TTTTTGCGGAGCCGCCGATTTTTTAAATCTTGGAAAGTGAAAAAAACCGTTAGAAGTAGTAGTTTTGCTCGTAGTCCATAGTGAAATTGAAATAACATGATTTCAAACGGAAGTGGTCAACATCTTTCCGTACGAGAACATGTATATCAAGTTGGGAGTACTTTATTTTTTCAAAGTGTTTACATAAACTATGATGTGTAAAAAGAGTCGATATACACCATGCAAGGACCGGGGAAAGAAGGGCAAAAGTAAAAGAAAAATAGACAAAACCATGCCTACAAAACACTTCTTGGAAAACTAAAGACGGAAGAACATGGACTCCAACAAATACCGGCGCCGGGATCTCAGATGCTCGGAAACTGAGAAACTCACGGGATAAGAATACCCAGCTCCACTATATCTGGAACATCACGGTCAACCAAATCATGATAGCGTCCCGCGTCAAATAAATTGAACAGATGACTTCAACTTTACCATTAGACACCCTTGATTGACAACAGCTTCCTTGTAAGCAACACTTCTCTATTAAAGAAAGCATGATAAGAAAAGCAACTTAAGCTCTGGAAGATCGTATTAACAAAAATATATACAAAAAAGACAGTGATTATCAACATGATCTTACAATATGTTAGTCTATTTTATTTTTAAGAGAGGTAGGTGCTTTCTAGGTAAGGGTTTATTAAATGTCCATTCAGAGGTTATTATAATCTTACTAGGTTCATCCGCATGTTCTTGGTTATTCTGGTGATTGGAATAATAAGGGAGAGAGGAGATGATATTAAAAGGGAGAGAGGAGATGATATTAAAAGGGAGAGAGGAGTTGATATTAAAAGGGAGAAGAGATGCTATTAAAAGGGGGAGAGGAGATGATATTAAAAGGGGAGAGGAGATGATATTAAAAGGGAGAGAGATGATATTAAAAGGGAGAAGAGGTGATATAGGGAGAGAGGAGATGATATTAAAAGGGAGAGAGGAGATGATATTAAAAGGGAGAGAGGAGTTGATATTAAAAGGGATAAGAGATGCTATTAAAAGGGAGAGAGGAGATGATATTAAAAGGGAGAGAGGAGATGATATTTAAAGGGAGAGAGGAGAGACCCACATAAACCAGGTAAAACTCCGTTACAACTTTATATGTGTATTTCCAGGTCAGGAATCTCGACAACAGTTATTTGTGTCCTTTGCTGAATTTTAGGTTGATAACAGATCATGCATGAGGGTTTGGATTTTTTTTTTTTGGGGGGGGGGGGTTCCTTCATTCTTGCATTCTTAAATTTTGTAGACAATTTTTCTCTGTTCTTTATACTTTTTGCCTATTATTCTCTATTCTTAATACTTTTTGCCTATTATTCTCTATTTTTTTATTTTTTATTTTTTGGTCAATTTTCCTCTTTTCTCAATAATTTTTGCCCATTATTATCTATTCTGTAAACCTCAAACCACACCCTCATGCTTTGACATTCAGTAAATTCATTATCAATTTTTCTTAGCATTAAATATTGTACAAATACTTGCCTATACTTAAAGACGGTATGTAGACCTCTAGATGTATAATAGACTGCTTATCATTTGTGTCGATCAGTTGCTGTCTCAATCGCGTATACCCCTCCTCTTATTCATATTGGTGGTAAATGCTAAGCACAGGCACTTGACTCTATAAAAAGTACCTACATACTTTAATATACACAGCATTATACTAAAGTGTATAGGTATTTTTTTTCAGAGACAGTGCCTGTGTTACTTATCTATCAAATAGTTACCTTGTCTCTCTTGCTTAAAAGTTAAATCTTTCCTATCAAGTTATCTTACCAATGTTGTAATTAGATCTTTGAATATAGTTAGCTGTCAGTAACTGCGAGTACTCTCAAATCGTACTTTCTTGTTTATTTGACCTGTTGATACCAATTGTAATGCTTTTTTGTTATTTAATGTTATTCAGGGTTATATCTGGCCTATATACCAGCTTTGATAAGTGTTTGGTATTACTATAAATTTTCACTTCTTCGTACTATGAACATCAAAATTATTTATTTTGTAAAAATATTTCCTTTCTCCATTTGTACTGTACACGTATACCTAACAACAAAATTATTCATTTACCTGTGTTTAAAGTAATTGCAAATCGCAGATATTTTTGTTCAAGCATATTGCTTTTCTTAAATTGTTTAACATTTCACAGCGGTATAACATGTTACTTTAATTATTCTTCCCTTAGTTTATTTATTTTGTATTTACATTGTATCATAGATCAAATTTATTTGTTCAATGAAAGTTCACTGGTGTTAATATGTCTTTTGATTGAGTTAAGTCATTTCAATTGATATTTTATAGTGTGTCTTTCTATGTTGTGATGTTACACTATTGTTTGCACCTGTCCTAAGTCAGGAATCTGATGTTCAGTAGTTGTCGTTTGTTGATGTGGTTCATAAGTGTTTCTCGTTTTTCGTTTTTTATATTTTATATAGACTAGAACGTTGGTTTTCCTGTTTGAATGGTTTTACACTAGTAATTTTTGGGGCCCTTTATAGCTTGCTGTTCGGTGTGAGCCAAGGCTCCGTGTTGAAGACCGAACTTTGACCTATAATGGTTTACTTTTATAAATTGTTACTTGGATGGAGAGTTGTCTCATTGGCATGCACTCATACCACATCTTCTTATATCTATATATCAATAAACTTAACATAATCAAAGACCAAATGAACCCAGTCAGATTGACATTTTATACACCAAATATTGTTGAACTTTTATATATATTGTATTTCAAAATTGACCTAATTATAAACACTTAACGTTGGTTGACAAATGAACCATGAATGTGAGCTAGATCAAGGTCAGATGAACCTGCCAGACAAACACATACGCCTTTCAAACATTCCACACACCAAAATAGTTGACATATTGCTGATAGTATCTAAAAATCGATCTAGTTCACAAAAACTGAATGTTGATCACTGAAATGAGATCAAGGTAAGGTGAATCATAAAAAAAATTTAAAGAACCTAAGTGAGCGCGCTCACATACCCCACGTCCCAACATTGTCACTGGAGAAATAAAATAACTAAGAAAAAAAAATTGTATAAGAAAAAAAAATTGAATCATAATTTCCTGTCGATATGCACATCTACGTAGTATGTCCTTATTATCTACAAAGTTTCATGAAATTCTGCTGTGTGGTTTCGGAGGAGTTGCAATGACAAACTGTTGCAGTAGTATATTGAAGCAAAAAAGTTCAAAGGGGCATAACTCCTAGAAAAAAAAGTGAATCGTAATTTCCTGTCGATATGCACATCTGCATAGTATGTCCTTTTTATCTGAAAAGGTTTCATGAAATTCAGTTGTGTGGTTTGAGAGGAGTTGCGATGACAAAAGGTTGCAGTAGTATATTGGGCAAATAAGTTCAAAGGGGCGTAACTCCTGGGAAAAAAATTGATTCGTAAATTCCTGTCGATATGCACATCTACATAGTATGTCCTTATTATCTGAAAAGGTTTCATGAAATTCTGTTGTGTGGTTTGAGAGGAGTTTCGATGACAAGAAACAGGACTGACGGACTGACAGACGGACAGACAGACGGACGGGTCAAAAACATTATACCCTTCGCAAAAAAATTTGCGTGGGGTATAATAATATGCTTAAGAAATCACTTTACCATGAAAACAAAGTCAAGGACAATCGGCATGTCAGACCGTAACATTAGAACACATGGCATCTGTATACATAATAGCAAGTAACCAGGTCCTTTACTTTCAGTAATATAAAGCTTAATATAAAGTTTATGCTATTGGTGGTTTCGCATCTCAATTTCACATTCAGGGGAGACAAAAACCGAATGCAAAGTAACAGGGTTGCGTTCAATATCGTAGCGGCTACGTAGATTTATGACTATTGAACGAGTAGCTAGCCTAGCTGCTATCAATATCTATGTATCAGCTAGGCTTGCTACACGTTCAATAGTCATAAATCTACGTAGCACTATGTAGCCACTACGATATTGAACGCAACCCAGATCTTTTATTACTGTTCTTCTTTATCTCATAGTCACAGTGAGGCTGTCAACTGGGAGCAAAAGCTCTCACCTAAGTGCAAGCATGGGACAATCTCTAGCACCAATTTGAGTGGAATTCTTTGTTTGATGTCAATCCATTCTTTGTCCAGAATAAAACTTTTTTTTTCTGTCTGCTAATTTGGTACTATCAGAGAAAATGAAATAATATATTCCTTTGAGGTCTTTAAAGTTTGCATCTACCATTGAAATCCAAACTCAACTGCACAGCATGGATTAAAATTTCTTTTAGCATTCAAGCATTCTTTTACAGGGGTAAAAAAATATCAATGTGATCAAACATAGTCCAAAACGGGTTCAAAACAAGTGAAACACAAAGAATTCAAAGTAAATCTTTTGGTACTGTGAAAATTACAGATTGGGGAGCAGATTCAACTTTTGAATTCCATAGAGAATTTTCCAAAGAACCAAGTGTGTTTTATTTAACTATTTACAGTTCATTAATTCCTCTGTTCACCTTGGATTAACTAATCTCTTGTACCATGAGAACCAGTCAACTTTTGCTTATTCAACTATGTATCATAATGAATATCTGCCTCTAAGACGACCATTGCTGTATTAAATTTGTCATAGCCGCATGTCCTTGTTCTCTTTTGATGATATCACCAATATCTTAGTTCTCATGAGGAACACAATGGGTACCAACACATGTGGAGTAGGATCTTCATACCCTTCAGGAGAACCTGAGTTTACCCCTGGTTTTTGGTAGGGTTCGTGTTGCTTAGTCTTTAGTTTCGTGTGGTATTTTGTAGACTGTTGTTTGCATTTTTCATTGTTTTCTTTTTAGCCATAGGATTGTCTGAATTTTTCAACTTTTTTGATTTTTGTTTTTTCTTCTCTTTTTTTTTAATAAACATTGATAAAATCTCCAACCCCTGTTTTATACTTTTCTTATCTTAGGAACACCGAATCTGACAAAAAATGATTAAACATGAAATGTTTTCAATTTTTATAGTTTCACATCAAATACATTAAATTCATCAACAATTTAATAAAAATCTGGGAAAACAAATATAAATACCTGGAATCAAATCTACAACTCTGCATGATTAAAATATAACACTACCAGGCCTGACTAAAGTAGTCATCCATGCCTTACTCAGAATAGAAAATTTTATAACAACTACATTGTATAAAGCTACATTTTGAACTTCACTTTATAAGTCATTTTCATAAATATTGTTCAACAGACATCAATGAATTAGAATTTGCCACATCTAAATTTATGCCAACCAACTACACATTAAACCTTTATTCATACTGTAGACTCATTTATTTTTGCAGGATAAGAAAAATTGTATTTTTATTTTATTTCATGATTTTGCATAAGTCTGCTAACAAACCTATAGGAAATTTGTACATTCTGGAACTCTTAGATTCATGCAAACGAAAATTGGTATCCCAAGAATCATAATGAATCTACAGTATATGCCAACCAATACTATAAACTCAGAAATTATAACGATGCTTGTATAAATGCAAATAATGTGACTCCTTGGGTATCACAATAAGATCTCACATTCTGTTATCAGATACATATATCTGTATGCAGCTAGTACACAATTTTAATTAGGGGCCAGCTGAGGACCACCTCCGGGTGCGGGATTTTCTCGCTGCATTGAATACCCATTGATGGCCTTTGGCTGTTGTCTGCTCTTTGTTAGGTTGTTGTCTCTTTGACATATTTCCTATTTCCATTCTCAATTTTATTTCCTAAAATCGCAATAATTGAACTCGCATTTTTGTTCATTTTTCAAAAATCGCAATAATAAAGGCACGTCATAATTTTTGAATTTACAGTATCTGATGTACACATGCACTCCATAATTTTTTCTATATATTTTTTTACTTCCCTCTCAAATCATGCAGAAGAAATTCTAATGAACATGAAACACAAACATTAACAATCATGGATACACATATGAAATAACATAACAGAATAGCTGCAATTCATTCAGACAGTTCTTCTATTTTCTGTTTATTTCACAAGTACGATTTTCAAACTTTCATAATGAAGACAGTCATCAAGTGTTATCAAACAGAAAATGGAATCTTTTGATTAATTGATTGATTGATTTAATGTTTGTATAATGTCCAATGGCAAATATTTCATTCATATTCGTAAGAGATTTTTATAGCCCCTAAATATAATTTAAACATTTGACACTCAAATTTAATAACGGTATCGATATTTTTTAAATGAGACTAAACAACAAAATTATTTCCCACTCATAACTCTTACATAAATGAACAAAAAGAAAAAATACTCTTTTAAGAGTAACTTGTAATATGCTTAAAACCTCCAGAAAAATACTATTTATTAAATGCATTTTAGAACATGACTGACAAATTAAGTTTTCATGACATACATATATTAAAAACGCACATGCTTCTCTAGTTTTTTTTCTCCAAATAACCCTTAATTTTGCCAATGAAACCATTAAGATTAATTTCTGGTCAAAGTATTGGTCACCCTTTTAAAAAGTCATATTTAAAATTATATTATAAGAAAATGTAAACCCAAGTTACTAAAATAAATATGGATAACATATATTATAAAGACAAAACTCATTAAAATCATAAAAACTTATACAATGCTTTTACTTATCAATTATGCTAAACTGAAGCTTTATCTAAACTTTGAGATAAAATCTTCTGTTTCAATATTATCTCTTTAATTGTCTATTTCAATGTAAATGAAAGAAGATGCTGGGATAATTTTTCCATAGTTTTTTTTTTCATGACCTTATGCTTATGCCCCCCTTTTTGATTGTCAAAATAATTTAAAATCTCATGTTTTTCACGATATATATAAAATTTTAGTATAAAATCGTCCAATAAATTTATTAACAACAATTATGTCACTTTGAAAAACCTGGATCTGCCCGTTTTGTTCATTTATAATGCCGGAATCAACAAAAAAGAACATAGCAATTTTCTATCATAGTGTATACACAACACTCAAAAATCAACCATTTACATGATTTTTTACAATATAGTTTTTTACAAAAATTCCCTGTATTATCAAATATATAAATGGTTCAAATTTAGCATTAAACTATACTTTATAAATATTTCAAACCAATCTAAGCACTTTGAACAATCGTAACAATGAAATCGTTATAAATAAAGATAACCCCAGTTTATAACTGGTTTTGATTAGACCTCAATCTAAAATTATACAACAGATTCCTTTGAGGAAAGTCTGTAACTGTTTCACAATCTGTAACAATTCTTTGTTTCTTCGGCTGTGTAACATGATCACTAAGTGCTAAGTTTCTTTGTCTGAAACATAAAAATACATTATGTAGCACACTTAGATGTGTCTGTTTGCCAAAGTATTATTGTTCATACATTGCCAAATACACGAAAGCTCAATTTTTTGTTACAAGCTGGGTCAAAAAGCTTTAAAACAAACAAACTATGTAAATATTTAAAGAGGCATGGAAATTAAGATCACACATTATCAGTTAATATGTTGTATGTGTTATAATAAGTTATCTATGCATTATTAGTTTTTCTCTGTATTCTGTCATATTTGTCATATATGTAAATATAAAATTGAGAATGGAAATTGGGAATGTGTCAAAGAGACAACAACCCGACCAAAGAGCAGAAAACAGCCCAAGGCCACCAATGGGTCTTCAACACAGCAAGAAAATCCCGCACCCGGAGACGGGCTTCAGCTGGCCCCTAAACAAAAATGTGTACTAGTTCAGTGAAAATGGACGTCACACTAAACTCTGAAACATATAATAGAACTAAAGTTAACAAAACATACAAGACTAACAAAGGCCAGATGCATGTGGCGGGATTAAACATGTTTTGTGAGATCTCAACCCTCTCCCTATACCTCTAGCCAATGTAGAATATACCTTGTTATTTTCCAAAAGCAATGTTGTTGCTAATGCAACAAAGATTCATTTATTCAATACATCATGATAACATAACTTAAAAAAATTTGGACTTTCAGTCATAAAACATTACTCAGTACTTCATGTTCATGGAGTAAACGTTTTGATAGGTTTATAACTGAGTCTGAGTACAATAATCATACTCAAAATTTTTATAACTGTAATCCCTGGCCTTGCAGTCATAAAAATTTTGAGCATGATTATCTTAATCAAATTCAGAATTCAACCAATAGATGATTCTAGATTTGGTGTTTTAAAAACATTTTGTATTCCCAAGTACTGAGAAAAGTTTGATGACTGAGAGCCCAATATTGGTTAATTTCTGGGTCTGAGTACAATAATCATACTAAAATCTTTTATGAATAACTCCTGGTCTCGGATAATTTTTTTTTATTAGTATTACTAAAATATTTACTGCATATATATTTTTTTGTACAATGAAAAGGCAAGCATACTAACTATATAACCACTCAAAATACCCTTTTTTACAACTGAGTGTTCTCATGCTGGAATTCTTTTGTGTGTTTATTCAATTATTTACTTTGGTACAAACTTATAGCAAGCTTATCCAACTTACATAATGAATAAAAAAATATAAAAAGATGTGGTATGATTGCCAATAAGACCACTCTCCAATATAGACCAAATGAAGTAGAAGTAAAAAAAAAAACTATAGAAGAATGAAGAACATTACAGTTTATAAAATCCAGTTACTTCCCCTTCCACATAAATATACTCAAACATAAAAATTGTTTCAATATCTAATGGGAAGATCAAACAGAACTGAATTGATGCATAATTTTAGTTCAAAATTTATTCCTCGTTATATTGTAGGTTATACTTTAAAACAGATGCAATTACTGGGAAAATGGCTATTGTTTGCTCAGTCAAATAATCTATAGTATAATTAGTTTTATTCTATTCCAAATGCAGGGTTTAAGCTAGGATTTTGAGGGCTTTAGTCACTTTTGCGCGAGATGAAAATCAATATTATTTTAGGTAACAGCAAGGGATCAAGCCATTGTCAAGGATGTATGTATATTACTAGCTATACATCTTTGTCAGACTTTGGAAGGACTAAGGCATCAATTTACTAGGCAGTTATTGCATGATTTGACTGATGTGTCACTTAAATATGAAGATTAGGATATACGATCTGAAAATCTAGTTCAAAATTTTACTTCAATTAGTTTCAGGGGACATTCCTGATCAACAAAAGTTGGGTTCCTTTTTTTTAAACCAGGAATCACAGTATAAATGAACTTGTTGAACTTTGCAAGACTATTACACTGCACAATCATTATCCTTATAAGACGTTTAAATCGATATTTTGAATTAATTGTACAAATTCACATGGAACGATTCCAATAACTGTAAATTGTAAATTGATCGAGAATTGATCACGTTTACTTTCGATTTTCAAATAAAATGTTAACGGGAAGTAACAAGTAGATAATAAATTTAGAATGAATCCCGATTCATCTACGGATTGGTTCAAATTTAAAAAAGGCAGGAAATTATCATTTTTTATTTCAATTTGCTGAGTAAGAACTATATTTGTCTCTCTCATTTATTTTGGCACTAAATTTATTTCGTATTTTACGTTTTAGTGTCTTATAAATTCATAGGAATACTTTCACGCATGCGCAGTATATCGTAAAGGAAGCACCTGTTTGACTCGTTGATGATGATGGAAGTTTCTAACGTGAAAACATTTCTGAGCGTTTTGAATAAAGTTCTATCTTTTTAATCGAAATTGAACGTTTTATATCAAAGATGACGAAAATACGATCATTTGACGAAACTACGACAAACGAACTGCAAATTATGATCGTTTTAGAAATATTGAAATTAAAAAGCGAACTGTCCGGGGGAAAATAATTTTGTTCAAATGACGAAACTACGACAAGCGAACTGCAAATTGTGGTCGTTGGCCTTGAGAAATATTGAAATTAAAATGCAGACTGACTAATTTTACTGGGGAAAATACTTAACCGGATTAGTGACCCATCCGATGGCGATAAGCGGATTAGCTGTAATCACAACTTTATAACACCTGTTGTAAATGTTAATTAGCTGAGGGTCATAAACTTGTCAGAAACATGTAGACAGGTAGAATTATAGTATTTTCAAGCGAAAATATTTTTACACTTTCCAAATTTAAGTGACGAAATTGATTTGAAATACTTTCGTCATTTTGAAAACAGTTTCGTAAATTACGAAAGTGACGAGCGCTAGCAAAATCACTGCAAATGATATTAATAAAATTTGCTAACGACCAGCACCTGAGTTCAGTCAGATTTGACTGACATAACGAGCCAAATTCAATGGGGATTCAAAGAAAAGCTGCATTTAATTAAAATTATACTTCAAGTAAATAAGATAGAAACTTCAGGTTAAAATTGATTGAAATGTTGAAAATGTTTTCCTCGTTATTTTTTGTTGGGAAACCCTAACCACACAAAATGTTTATCCTTAAATTGAAGTTAAATGCCTCCTTTTTTATTCATGTTAGTTTTCTTACAATTCTCTAAAAGCTCTCCTAGGTTCATCTTCTGGTATACAGGAATATGGTGATGAAAACGATAAACAATTCTCTTCTGATGACTTCCTATAAAAACTCTGAAATAAAAAAAAAAAACGCAATAAAGCCTGCTCTAGAAAAATATGAATGTAAATTGTTTAAACACTGATCTTTTATTTAACCTTCTTTCAAGTTTTCACTATTAGGCCAAAATAGAAAATATATGTCTGTTTACAGTTACCCGAAAAACCCCAAGTCATTTTATTTCAGTCATAAAGTGATAAATTAACTGAACTCATGTCAAAAGCAAAGTTTAGAGTTGCCAATAAATTTAATCAATTGCCTGATATATCTAAATGTTCACAATCGTGAATATGACAGCTGTTTTTACATGTTTTAGGAAACTCGCGACTTGTGTGATGAAATAAACACTTTGCCGCCATTTTGTTCAAACTAATAACCAAGGGCAATATTCCAATTATTAAAAATATGGGTTAACTCAGCCCACTGCAATACTGACCACATGACTCAAAATCATGTCACAAAAAATAAAATGGAAATATCGACCTACCTACCCTATTTTTTTCTGATGTGACCTTAAACAGACATATATTTTTTTGGGGTCTAAGTCACAAAGCCACCAGTGAGGCTTCTAAAATTGCTATTGGACCTATAAGAATCAAATGTTATGAAACTTATACACAATGCATATTACAATAAAACATGTTAGAAATTGGGTGACATCCCTTTTAGTCCTGAGGGGCCTGATGGTGGGGGGGGGGGGGGGGGTCTCATCACGATTCACGAGTTGATTTTTTTGTCAATCACGATTCACAGAAAATAAATTTCCGTGATCACGGATCACGAAAATATAAAAAAAAAATCTGTAAAAAAACGGATCACGATAGCGAAAATAACCCATCAGGCCCCTCAGTTCTCATGTTATAACCCTTTATAACGTTATATGCAAGCAGGACACATTGACACGCTCTCAATTTATTTCTGCCAGAAGACAGTAAACAAGTATATATTTTTTTGGACTAACAAGGTTACGAAATTATACAATTGAACCTTCATAGCATTTGGTTGAGGCAAACTTGTTAGAGAACAGAAACCAATATTGAGACGTACATACGGACAAGTGTAACACTTAATAACCCCTACCGTACGTAGACGGCGGGGCATAAAAAATTTCAAGTCAAGGAAGGATTTGTCTGAGGAAATGAATGCCCCCACTCAAGCTTTGCAATTTTCAAAGTTAAAAGGGGCATAACTCTAGAACAGTGTGTATGAGTTTCATAAAATTTGCCATAGCAAACTGAAGTTAAGAGTGCAGAAAAGAAAATGGGAAAGACGGAAGGTCAAGGTTACACTTACATTGTAAAAATGAGCAGGGCCCTACAAGGAGCACAAGTTTACAGTGAAGACTATTATCTTACAAGAATATGACAACAATTGTTATGATAGAAATTTTAATGGGGGATTGTCAAATTCTTGTATACAAAGCTTGGACATATAATTTGTATTTTAATCAGACTGATATTTCAATTCTTCATGACCCAAATGATGTACAACAAAAATGAACATATATATTCTTAAAATAGGTACAAAAGTGTGTTTTATCAAACTATTCACAGTTCATTAATTCCACTGTTCAACTTGGATTTATAGTCATTATCTTTTACCATAAGAACCAAATCCAACAAATGAACTGTTGCTATTCCACAGTTTTTGTTAACCTAGTATTGGACTAAGCATTATAATAAATATACATGTATGTGCCGAAGATGACCATAGATGTGTTTAAATTGTTATAGCCACAATCATATCCATGTCTATTATGATATCACTGATATCTCAGTTACCATAAGCCACACAATGGGTGCCATCACATGTGGAGCAGGATCTTCATACCATTCAGGATCACCTAAAATTATCCTGTGTTTTCTGATGGGGCTTGTGTTGCTCCGTCTTTAGTTTTCTGCATAGTGTTTTGTAGACTGTTGTGTTTTTCATTGTTTTCTCTTTAGCCATGGTGTTGTCCGATTTTCTACAATTCTTTATTTTTGATTTTTGCAATTGCACTCATATATTCATGATAATTTTACTAGTGATTTTCGTTCATAAAATTTTTGCAATCACATTAATTTGATTTCTCATTTTTGCCAGAGGATAAGGATTTGCAATAATAAATTCAAGCACCAATTTCTGAATTTACAATTTTTCTAATTGCTTGTATTAAAGTTGCAACTTACTCTCAATCTTGTCCTTCTGTAACCGTTATCATTTTGTTGACTATTACCATGGTTACCATTTTCTTGAGAATAAAAAAAAATAAATTACATAAAAATATGAATGTAATAATTGTAATGATGTAAACCTTTTCAAATTTGTAATAGCTTTTATTTGATCTTTTAATTCACAGTCAGCAATCAATAAAGCCATTTCTCTCAAATTACATTGTACATATATCCAAATTAAAAGCAAGTCATTAATGTAAATAACTAATTGATTTATCTGCTGGTTTTCAAATGGTACGGTTTGAGCATTCCTAATGAGGGTAAATCCAGAGAGCTTTGAAAGCTCATCATCGTTAACTGGTACATTTTGTAAGTGTTATTTTAATACAATTTGTAATTTTTTTTTATTTGTAAATTTCGGCAGATAGAATAAGAAATCAGTATACACGTACTACACATTAATTTTGAAAATGTCTGTTTTCTGGCACGATTTTATCAAATGTTTGAATTTGTAAAAAGTAATTTTAGTATATCAAATCGAGCAGAGCATATAAACTTTATAACAATTATCCTAGAAAATTTGTTAGCATGGAAATCATTTCATAGTTTAACCTAGTACATTTTTTATGTTTGGTTGGGTAAACTTGTTAAACATGGCTGCCCAGAGAAACGGCTTACACAAAATTGATATAAATGTATGCAGCTTATTTTCCTTACCTAGTTCTCTAATACATTGATGATATTCGTCTTCTGCTATTTTGACCTTTAACTTGACCCACTTTGCATGACACGATTTGAGCAAACTTTTATTAACTAGACCCTGCTGAAATTTATCTAACAAATGTCCGTGGGAATATTTTTCCCATAAGTCTCTGGCACCATCTACCGAATTACAAAGTAAAGAAAATCTAATACTTCCATTAGATATATCATGCATTGAACGACCATGTTCACACAACATTTTGAGAGTATTCATAACTTCCATTGATTCTCTTAAAATTTCATTAGTTTGTGATAATTCTTTTTTAAATTGTTCAAAAGCAGCTGGAGTTGTGTCCCGTCTTCGAATTGCAAGGTATGCTGTCTTTGACATGATGAGGATCTGTTCTTCTACTTCCTGACACGAGCAGAGAGGTTTTTTCTTGTTGGGGATTGGTGCCACATCTTCACAGTCTACATTAATACTTAATTCACCTGTTCAAAAAGAGTTTTAAAAATTATATACAGTATTTAGAAAAATTTATTGCCTAGAGGCAAACCAAGACTTTCTCTCGATTTCACAGGGCTCACACTACTTCAGAATCATAGAGTGTGACTTCTCTTTTAAAAACTGATAGGGAAAATTGGTGAGACTTAATAAAAAGAGAAGTAATCGCTAGCTCCAAGAGCTTTTATGTTTGGTATTACAGTGTAACCTGTCTAAACCGAACCTCTTCAGGACTCAAGATTTTGTTACATGTACATGTAGGTTTAATCAGGTTCACAACACATATCATTTGATATGACTGGACTTTAGAACATGTATGGTTTTTGATTTATGCATGATTCGGTTTAGACAGGTTTCACTGTACAATGATATATACAATGTATCTTGCATAATGCAATATATTCTTCTAATTTAATTCTTTTTTGTACTGTACAATATCAATTATTTCATTGATTCCTATCGTCAAAAATTGTTGTTTGTAAGTTTTTCCGTTTGTTCCAAAGAAGGAACCCTAGCATTGGAAGTGTGACTATCATGAGAATTAAGTAGTTATTTTCTGACAGTTAACATGGTTAAGTGTACATTTGTAGAATCATATGCGAAAACCAAAGATAAGTTTTGTATTGTGCTTAAGAGATAACACTAGATTACAATTAGTACACAAATACATGTATAAAATCAACCCTCTTAAAATTATTAAAGAATTTGTATAATGGAATTTACCATTAAATCAAGTTCATAAAACACAATTTTCAAAAAATTTTATAAAATTGAGAATGGAAATGGGGAATGTGTCAAAGAGACAACAACCCGACCATAGAGCAGACAACAGCCGAAGGCCACCAATGGGTCTTCAATGCAGCGAGAAACTCCCGCACCCAGAGGCGTCCTTCAGCTGGCCCCTAAACAAATATGTATACTAGTTCAGTGATAATGGACGTCATACTAAACTCCAAATTATACACAAGAAACTTAAATTAAAAATGATACAAGACTAACAAAGGCCAGAGGCTCCTGACTTGGGACAGGCGCAAAAATGCGGCGGGGTTAAACATGTTTTTTGAGATCTCAACCCTATGCATATTTTGATTTTATTACAAGTACTAATGCTAAAAATATACCTGGAACTCTTTTCCGCTTTTGTCTTTTTTTGGACGGAGGTTTTGGAATCGGATCTTCCAACAGGTCAGCTAAGTAACCCTGTAAAGTTTTATGTAAAGATCTGACAAATTCATAAAATGCTCGGTCAGACCTTCGAACTAAATTGTTTAACAATTCCTCATTCATGGCTTCTCTTGTATTTTTCTCCTTTATCCGACTGACATCAGCAGTGGTCAAGACTTTGTTTGCGATGAGGTCATTAAATATGTCATCAGGAATCATGCTCTCGACTAATGTGTCTCTATTTGACTGCAGTTTTGACTTGTGCTCTTTACTCATCACTTTATCCACTGAAAAACACAATGATACATGTATATACTGTATTAAAACAGTTTTTAATAATGACTGTTTTTATAGCCAACTATACGGTAAGGGTTTTTCTTATTGTTGAAGGCTGTACAGTGGCCTATAATTGCTTATTACCAATTCATTTCAACTCTGGTTGATATATGCAGTAGTCTCATTGGCAATCATAGCACATCTCCTCATTCTTATAAGGGGACGAAGTCCCCTATTACAGTAGAAAAATCAATAAAAAAAAAAAAAAAAAAACGGGAAAATTTCCCGAAATTTTCATTGTAATAATGAACTCAAAATCATTAACTTTTTTTTGTAACTTTTTTTAATTCCCGCATTTGCGCAGAAATCTACTTCCTTCTTCCGGTCTCGTTTGTCATGAGACTTTGAGTGAAATATATATTTATCAGTCCAGTAAAATATAGGAAGGAACACAATAACAATTTCATTTCTAATTATTCTTTGATATGAAAAAACGTTACCTGATGATAGCGTTTCTTTGTCTACATTGAATATGACGTCATAACTAAAATCCCTAACAACAGAACCAAAATCGGAAACGTTACGGTATTTCCGTTTCTTTTTTAACAGATTTAGAACTTAAAATATGTTTGAATTAAAAAAAATAATTTATATAGACTTCGTTCCCTTTCACAGGTAATGCCTGCCTCATATTATTAACAATAAGAACATTTGCATATTGGTTCTGTGTACATTGTAAAAGCAAAATAAGTGTGTTTAGACTTTGATTAATTCCATTTAAATACAACATTGTACAATGCTTGTCTTCTGTTAAAAGAAATTCTGACAAATTGATATATGCAGTCTGATAGGAATCTGCTCTTCCTGACATGAGCAGAGAGGTTTTTACTTGTTGGGGAGTGGCACAACTCTCCGGTGGAAAATTGCTTCATTGGCAACTATACCATATCTTCTTATTTTTATATATTTACATGCTTAACCACAGGCCCACCAGCTTTAAAGATCTACCTTGCTACAGGCCAATAGAATCTTAACTAACAAAAATTTAAAATTAAAGCTTGTAGCCTGTACATGTTGATAAGGTATATGTTATTATGTACATGAGTGTAATGTATATAAAAAGAATATGTGGTATGATTTCCAATGAGACCACTCTCCACAAGTGGCCTACGTGTATTCTAATTTCTTCTAAGTGATTCCTTTTTTTGGTTTGTTTCACAATTGTATGGCATGCCTATTAGACCAGTAATAAATTATTTTTTTCCATTTAGGAGCACCTTCTTGTCATCAGTTGATCTGAAGTTACTTGCTTTCTTATAAGTATTTATAGTACATCTTTTTGGCTAGTTTTTCTGCAATATAATTCATACATTTGTAAAAAAATTTATTGGTACTGTATACAAATGTATATACCATTAAACAGATGGCTTACAATTTTTCGAATCTTTGTCTTCATCTGATTCTGAATCTTCACCACTTTCATCTCTTCTTGAAGAGGATGTTTCAGCTGAACGACGATTTGACAAATTTTTCAATCTTTCTCTCTGTTCATTCAACATGGATGTCAACCCACTTGATTCTGCAAGTCTATTTTTATCCAATGTTCCTGGACTTGGACTGCTAGACATGTAGCCAGAACTAAGACTGGTAGTTGAAGATCCTTTTAAGGATTTGACAGATTTACTTAACTCTTTGTACTGTTTTTCAAGACGAAATCTTTCAGCATTTTTTTTTGCAAGCTTTTCCTTCTCTTTTTCTAACTGTCTAATTTTTTCTATTAAATGACTGTCATCTTGAGCTTCTTCACAGTTATCCGAATCCGCATCAGAATTATCGGCCATTTTGTACATTAAATAATTGAATACACTTTGTCTATTTATCCATTTCTCCTCTGGACTCTGACTTGTGTCAGATTCCCCACTACTGTCCAATTTTACAGGAGTACAATGTGGATTGAACATAAATAAAGATATGTACAACTTGGTAAAAATCAAGTTCAACTTTCAATCACAATAAATTGCTGCTTTGTGTTAGTTTGATATGCATATGAATTCAATAGATCAAAAGTACAAAGAATTATTGGTAATCAAACAATGCAAACAGATAAATTTTTCCTTCAAAGCTTAAAGTTCACTCTTATTCATACAGGTGTCCTTTGGAACTTGTTTTGTGTATTCAGTCATACCTATGTACACACATTCTAGGATTATAAACTTGTCAGAACATGTTGAAATCAATGGCCGTGATAAGATATCTACCTACAACTATTACAACAATGGGTATTTAGTACCTAGGTAACGCAAATTAGCCCTGCCCACCTTTTCACGCTCCATCACTGACACATTTTTTGACCGTCTTTACGCCGTTTTTGGTCATCGCAATTCTTTTTCGATACGGAATTCAATAGCATTTTTGAATATGAAGGGTCATGAACTTGGTAGCATGTTGGTTTCGTGTCATATATTGTGTTATTTGTACATTTACAGACATAAATATGTTCAGTGTTTGATTTGGCCGCCCAAACAATGTTGGCGGAAGTGAGCCTCTATTTGATATTAGCTAACATTTTTTACCTTCCAAATTGAAGAGCTCATAGAGACAGAATTTGCCACGCCCACTAAATCTTTTAATTTGAATATGACACATGCTACTACTTTGAAATTTAAATAGACTTATTTCGATAATTATTTGGAAAATAGGTGACTGATTTGATTACAAAACAACAGTCTTTCGCAGTTAAAAAATCCGTTCATTATAAAAAATTATATGTTACAGGCATTTTCTAAATTTAGGCATTTTGTAAAATGCCTGAAAACTGTAGGCATTTTCTAAAATGCCTGTAACAATCAGGCATTTTATATTTTGACTAATTTTTTCAGGCTTTTTACAAAATCGCCTGGAAAAATTGAAAGGCAAATTGTTACAAAATGCCTGAAATTATTTTATAGAATGAAATTTTAACACTGAAAGTATTGAACAACTATGATAATTACTTATTATAAATTTAACGGTTGCATTTTAAAAGTTTTAATATGGTAATCTAAAATAAATTCTTCTGAATTATTTAAAATTCACACAAGCACTCGTCAATTATTTGTTATTTCGTGAAATGTTTGGATGACAGGTTCTGTTACGCATGTCCTGATTTTTATATATTTTGTTTTTTGCAAATACATCGTTTGGCTTTAAATCTGGTCAATACTACAATCACAGTTGGTGAAAACCGTCCATGGCACATTCAACGCTGTCAATACGTTTATGATAAAACACATAAAGTGCGAAACAACATGGGGGTTTTGCAAAAAACATACACATGAATATCTTCTTTACATCTGTTCCCAAAAGATTAAAAAAAACAGTAGATCGATTAGATTGCTTTACATCTTTTGGCTTATTAGAGCATTCAACAGGCTGAAGCAGATCTTCGTCAGCCGGTGATGCATGTATAGCAGGAAAAGCTTACCATGTCCACGCACCCCGTCTGGCTTCGTATGGAATGCATGCGATCCCTCGGGTTTTGTTTCTCAGTTACCTTGATTTGTCTCATCTTGATCGATTTTCTAGATTTTATCAACGGTAAAGTACTCTCCGGCGCCTAAATTCATCAGATAGTAAAGACCCTAGAATTCACAAGCGGCATTGAAGATGAAGATACTCATATCTTTGCATCACAAACAATCACGGCCTTGTATGGTGAACACCTAAAGAGGGGAATCACTTTGATTGTGCAGGATGTATAAATTCTCATTTTTTCTGAATGAGGACATTAAATCTGATGCCTTGTGTAAGGAGAGTGCCACACTCTCTGCAAGTTAAGAACTCTTTAACCGCTCCGTAGGTGGCCTGTTGGAAGACAACATTTCTGTCCCTATCCAACATACCTTCATTTCAAGTGGCAGTCGAAATTCCAGTCCTTTATATGAGTCAATCCATTGCAAAACTTATTTAATTTATTATCAATATTTTCTCTTCCCAATTATTCATAAAATATTTGCTACTGAACGCAAACAATCAACAATCAGTCATGCAATGAAACCCCATCCTTTCTTTTCTCTGCACCATATTGTTTTGATTCTAGATTTTCTAAAGATTGGGTAGTTAATTTTGTTCTATTGCAAGAACAATTTGTCCTTCTGGAGTGAGGTCGTGGAGAGGTTGTTTCATATGTGTATATTTATGTTTTGTGTTTGTCTTGTGGTTGTGGTATTATTAAATGCAAATTTTTATTTAGTTTTGTTTGACGCCCAATTGACAGATCTATTTGATTGTCCCCCTTACTAAAAGAACACAGAAGTGAAATTTTCACTTCTTTACATTTGGCCATTAACTAACTTATTGCACCCCTTTTAGGGAGCTACCATTTGATTTTTATGGGGGGGGGGGGGGGGGGGGGGGGGGGGGGGGGGGCTAGGATGAAAAATTTTGTTCTGCATTTTTTTTCAGTTGTAATCTCTGTCCTGCCTTTTTATTTTTCATTCTATTCGGTCCTGCCTTTTTTTTTTAGTTTATCCTGACTTTTTTTTACATAAATTGTCATCCTGCCTTTTTTTTTTGCAAAGTGTCTCATCCTGCCTTTTTTTTTTACTCAAAACTCCTGTCCTGCCTATTTTTTTCAAATTTCATCCTAGCCCCCCCCCCCCCCCCCCCCCCATAAAATTCAAATGGTAGCTCCCTTATTGCACCCCTTTTACAACTTGAGAATCACATGAAAAAAATAGGATTTTCTTCAATTTGCACTTTGCACAAACATGTAAAAAAAATCAGGTGCGGGTCAAGGTGATTGGCAAGCCAACGTAGGGAGTGATACTTGTAAAGAGTGTATGTATTTATATATCATATATTGACGTTACCCGGGTCCCTGCCCCCCTTAATTCGCATATGAAAATATAACCATTATTGCTTAACATAACACATTCCCACCCAGATTCATCTATCACAGGGGCTCGGTTTATGGAAACAATTTTTAATCATCGTCTCCTTTTTTTCTTAATTCACAACGATAAAATATTGTTTTATCCAAACTATAGTGAACTGTAAAGGCAGGGCGGATTCACGATTTTTGAATGTTTCCGGAATTTTCGAAAACGTAATATGTATCGCCGAGCTGAGCGAGTCGAAAATGTTTTTGGACGATTTTATACCAAAACAATCAAAGAAAGAGCATTAACATACATTTTATAATCAAAATAAGGAATACATTTTATAATCAATATAATATTGTTCGGGTCCACACATACACGAAAACACTATGATGAACACGGCGTCGCCACAACACCACCAGTTTGTCTCCTATGCTTGTCACCTCGAATTGAAAAACACTTAAAAAGAAGACTCAAAACTAAACAATAATGTTCTATAAGATAGATATATATACTAGAACTTATTCCTATTCTATTGCAAAACATTATTCTCAACCCCGTCAGTCTCAAATTAGATCTTCCCATAAAAATTACTACAGACAAATAAGATGCAACAAAGAGATATTCAACTTTCATAAATAACCAAAGTCATGATCAGGAACCTGTAATTCAGTGGTTGTCGTTTGTTGCTGTGTTTCATATTTGTTTTTCGTTCATTATTTTGTACATAAATTAGGTCGATAGTTTTCTCGTTTGAATTGTTTTACATTTGTCATTTCGGGGAATTTTATAGCTGACTATGCGGTATGGGCTTTGCTCATTGTTGAAGACCGTACGGTGACCTATAGTTGTTAAGTTCTGTGTCATTTGGTCTATTGTGGAGAGTTGTCTCATTGGCAATCATACCACTTCTTCTTTTAATATAAAGACTGGAATAAATTATTCCAAAACATTAGCAAAATTGTCTCGTCAGACACTCACTCATAAGGTGTTTATTGACACTTATACACACCTGCAATCAATAAATCACCTGTTTTCATCTTATAAAAATTAGAAGTTGTGGTATGATCGCCAATGAGACAACTCTCCACCAGAGATCATATTTCGTAGAAGAAAGCAACTATAGGTCACCATACAGCTTTCAATAAAGAGGAAATCACATATCGCACAGCAAGCAGTATAAAGGCCCCATATGACAATTGTAAAACAAACGAGAAAACTAACGGCATGATTTTTGTACAAACCAATAATTAACTAGAAACAAATATGATATACAACAACAAACAACCACCATTGAATTACATGTTCCTGACTTGGGAAGGTACATACATAATGTGACGGGGTTTAACATGTGAGCGGGCGCCCACCTACCCGTTATAACAGAATTCTGATGGTTTCCCGTAACCGAAAAACCGGAGAAGAAGAATAACGTTAATGATATCAAACCATTACTGTTAAACTAGCACCAAGATTTATATAAAATATAGAATGGAAATGGGGAATGTGTCAAAGAGACAACAACCCGACCAAAGAGTAAAAAAACAGCCAAAGGCCATCAATGGGTCTTCAACACTGCGAGAAAATCCCGCGCCCGGAGGCGGACTTCAGCTGGCCCCTTAACAAAAATGTGTACTAGTTCAGTGAAAATGGAGGCCATACTAGTATATGTATACTTTCAATGTACGGTATACAACAGTATGTACCACCATATCCGTGTAATACAAAAAACAAATCTTGATCTCTAATAGTGTCTCGATGGTGTTTACAAATTAGATAACAATGGGACAAAAAATAAAGAATGGAGAAAAAATGACAAAATATAAGATGGTGTGCTAGACCGAGAGGTTAAAAACTTTTTGAATAAGGACCAAAATATCGTTTTCCATCTAAAATAGATTTGAAACAGTATCGTCAGGTCATAAAATACCGGCGCTCTTTCATCGTATTGTAAAAATTGGTGTAAACGGGAAATCGGATAAAAAAAAATCTCTTGATTCTTGTTTAAATAAATGTACTGAATGTTGTGTGTATTCGAATATCACATTTTGAAAACAATTTATAAATACATAAAAGAGTACATAATACGCCTATTTCTAGAATAAGAAACACACTTCAAGTACTCGCAAACGGTTTGTACAAGTTTGTAAAATATTTTTTCATCTTGGCCTCTAGTAAGTGTTCTACAACTAATCTTTCAGTGCTTTTAACTATAAAAATAAGAAGATGTGGTATGATTGCCAATGAGACAACTCTCCACAAGAGACCAAATGACATGGAAGTCTTAGATGCATGATTTTTTTTTCTTTAGTTGTTATTGGCTTTGAAGAAGCTGTCAGTAACTGCGAGTACTCTCAGATTTGTACTTAGTGTCTTTCTGTTGTGTGGATGTACAAGTGCCCGTCCACGTCCACTCTGTTTTTGTTAGATGTTTTTCTATTTGTATCCATCTGATGAGTTAAGCCTTTTTCAACTGATTTTTATAGTTTGTTCTTATATTGTACAGTTACACCACTGTCCCAGGTTAGGGGAGGGTTGGCGGCTTCAAACGAGTTTAACCCCGCCACATTCTGTATGTGCCTGTCCCAAGTCAGGAGCCTGTAATTCAGTGGTTGAACTGGCTGTCAGTAACTGTGAGTACTCTAAGCTAGATCTGTACTAAGTGTCTTTTTTGTT